AAACATGACTCTGTTGAACACTTATCGAAACCAGCACATTTAGATGACAACTTTCTAAAGAAGAATTCTCATTCAGAATGGCTCTCAACTATCAAGAATAGTTTTATTCCATTTATAGTGTTTGCATGGACAAGAACCTAACAGACACATAAACTGTAAAAATACATAAATTCAAGAGATATATAAACTTAACAACTTGTACTAAAAAGATTCATGAACTCAGGAGATATATGAATTGAAGATATTCATTAACTGAAGAGATTCATGAACTCAACAAATATATGAACTGACGAGATTTATGAACTTAAGTTATTCATGTCTCGTTTTGCTCAAACACGTTGATTTATTAACCCATAATTATATCAATCCCCCACATTAATGGATCAACAAAACATTTTTTACTTGAAGAGATTCTAAGAGTGCTTGTGAAAATACATCGCATCAAGATAGGTAGCTTTTGCTTTGAACTTTCTTTAGTGAAAGCTTATCGGACTTACTTAACTAGTCGATGGACTAAGTCTTAAATCGCCAGTTGTTTGTGTAAGCCCAGACAATAGATCTCACACTGAGTATCTCTAATTCAAGATTGGTTCTCAATTGTGTTCATTCTTTCGGCCTTGAACCTCTCGGGATTCGTGTGTGCTTTCATAGAGTCGGCCGGCTCCACGCATTTAGGTGCATTCCTATTAAGGGTATCCTACCATACCTTACTAGGATGTTGTATTCATAACTATAGGAATCATTAAATGCATAGCGTACCTTTAAGATGTTGTCGGAAGTACTGTTACATAATAGAAGTGGAAGACAGTGTGCACACTAAAGTTTCCAAAATTTACGTTATCCTATTGAAGTTAGTCCATATAATCTCCAATCGCTAGGTTAGGTTTCCACCTTAGAACCTCTTTATTGAGTTAAGGCTTTAAACCCCATTCTCCTCGATGCGTAGTTTATGTGCTCTCTCGACAAACCTTTTGTCAGCAAATCCATAGTGTTTTCTTTTGACTTTACAAACTCCAAAGAAATTATTCCAATTCAAGAGCAACTACTTGACGGTATTATGTCAACGATGAATGTGTCTAGACTTACCATTATACATTGCATTTTTTGCTCTTGCAATCGTTGCTTGATTGTCACAATGAATGCATATTGGAGGCACAGGTTTTCGCTACAATGGAACATCCTCAAAAAACCGTCAAAGCTACTCTGCTTCTTCAGTAGCTTTATCCAAAGCAACAAACTTAGATTCCATTGTGGTGAACGTTATTAAAGTTTGCTTTTAGGATTTCCACAATACTGCGGCACCTCCTAGCGTGAACACATATCTGCTAGTCAATTTTGATTCATCGGAATTCGAAATCCAATTGGCATAACTATAGCCTTCCAAAATAGCTAGGTGTGGAAGAAAATGATTATTCGATGAATATACAATCCACCGTTTTAGGTTCCAACCAAGTTTGATTAGGAGGAAAAATCGCCACCTTGACTGGGCACTTCTACACTTTCAAAATTTATAGGATGGTAACCTTCGTTATTTACTCGGGCCATTAGCCTTGGCGTGCCTGAGTAGCACCGACCCGTTGTCCTTCCACTACCGATAGAAGGAAGTTTTCGCCCTTGAGCCCTCTGCTCTAGTGCACATGAAGTCTGAGCCTTCTCCCGAACCACATGAACAACTCCTGGCTAGGAATGGGCATGCTAGCAAAGAGCCATGGCAGGCTCGGTCCATTGGATCCGTGCCCATGTCCCATCACCTTGTTGCTCACTAAGGTTACAAGCTCTCGTGAGTGAACTCGACAACTGAATCTCCTTTAGAGTTTTGTTGAACCATCTCTCCAAAAACGGAACGATATGCCATTTGGCTTGTACTTTTATATGAAAAACAGTCCCGGGTATATCAACCATGCAACTAGTACCCATTTGGCTGGCACTATTCTAAAAAACAGCCATACGACTAGTTCCTGTACCACCATAGATGGTCTTGACCTAAAGGCCTGCAGCATTAGCTGCCACAACACCAGACCCCGAGGTATGAACCTCTCTACCAATAGTGGTCGAAACGACCACAGGAACGTTTCCAGAAACATTCCAAACATCGGCAGGTACTTCATTATTATCAGCCATTTCGATTTTCTGATAAACTCAACAAACAGTCAGAGTAATTGCCTTAAGATTGTTGGTAATGACGTACGTATTGGAGGAAATATACATAACACTATATTGTTTGTTATAAGTAGAAAAAATAAACATAAATAATAAAGCCGAGAAAGAGATAATAAATTAATTCTGACAAACGCAACCAGTGGACAAAGTGAACGAGTTATTGCCTAACTTTGTACTGGGCATCAGCTCAGGAAGATTCCGGGCCATCTTCTTGAAGAGATGCAGTCTCACAAACGAAAAAATGCTTTGAGCACAAGAACTCCTTCACCCGATGCAATAAGGTAGAGACGCAAGCGAGGCTTCCATGAATTCTCGCTTGAAGTAGCCTTAGTCGGCCACCGTAATCATTTGACTATGCCCTACAACATGTGAAAAAAACCCAATGGATTGAAACAGAATCAAAGTGGAGGTAGGGTATGGATAACCGATTCTTCTTGAGGCAATTAGTTCCTGCCAACGGAGCTAGGCAGACTCTCGAATTATACCTCCGAAGATATAATACCTCGAACCTGTTTGCCCTGTTTATATTAATACTATGCAAATATGACTCTGTCGAACATTTCTCAAAATCGGCACACTTTGAGGATGACTTTCTAAAGAATAATTCCTATTTAGAATGACTCTCAACTATCAATAGTAATTCAATTCCATTTATAAAGTTTGAATGGACATGAACTGAACAGACGCATGGACTTAAAAGATACATGAATTCAAGAGATGCATGAACTTAATAGATGGATGTAATGAAGTGATTCGTGAATTTAACAGATACATGAATTAAAGATATTCATGAACTAAAGAGATTCATGAACTTAATAGATACATGAACTTAACAGATACATGAACTAAAGAAACATGTGAACTGAATATACATGTCTCGTTTTGCTCACATATGTTTGATCCATTAACTCATAATTACAACATTAAACTCGACACCACTAAGCCGGGAGAGAGAGAGAGAGATAACTTTTGGTTAAACCAAGAGAACATTTTTGAGGTGTCCATTGTGGCCTAACAAAGAAGCTTAAAGTCTCCACTCGTGTAAACCCACTGCGAATCACATAGTCTACATCAATCTATATCGACAATCGACAATCCTATTTTAATATAAACCCGCACGGGTTATTATCCCTAGCTAGAAGAATGTAAAGTTGTAGTAGGCACTCAAAAAAAAAAAAAGAAGAAGAAGAAGAACCATTTCACAATTTTTGAGGGCCTTAGAGCGCATGGGATATTATAATAATGCAAAATGATGAGCACTTGATTAGTACGTAATGCAATATCACTCAAGGAGAAGAAATAAAATATTGGGTTGGGAGGAGGTAAAGAGGTGGAGGAAGATAAGGTGGGTGGAGGGTCATCGGAGTTCATGGTGGCGCATAAACACACGATATTATCTTATGCACTAATAATTTATCGCCTCTATGGTTAATGTAATGATGCTCAGAACTGATCGAGTTTGGCCGTCTTGTCACATTTTGACTCTCTTTTAGCTTTTCAACGATCTAGTAGAGGACTTACATCCACCTTTTTTTGTTTTTTATATTGTTTTTTTGAGAGAGAGAGAGATAGAGAGAGACCACTTTTTCGAGGCACTAAAATGCACTCGTGCGAGGAGGAAAAGGTTCGTGTCTAATCATTGTCGTAGGTCATAGGATAATGACTGATATAAGTTCATGCCCGAAATGTATATTATCCTAATGGGTTCTAACTTCTAATTCCCCACTACCACATGATGATCTAATGGCCAAAACGGCGTTTTGTGCAATATGGAAACTCACGAGGGCCAGATTGTTTGCCATTAATCGAAAATCTAAAGGTAGGTTTAAGTATAATTATCTTGACTTGCCACCAGAGTTTGAATATTATCTGAATTTAAGAAAGTTATGAAATATTTTATGTTAATCTATGCACTAATATTTCTATATTGTAAAAATTTCGGACGTTTCAAATTAGAAAAAAGAAAAAGTTGAATTGCACAAGTTGTAAGATTTCGTAAGTAAAAAGTAAGAAAAAGAAGTCGAATCAAACAAGCCTTTAATCTCTCTTTTTGGAATACGTGGATCAATAGACAAAAGAGTGATTGGAACTCGTAACGTTTAAAGAAAAAAAAAACGAAAAATAAGTCAAGATAGATGAGAAATCAAACACAAAATTCATGATTTACATCCGCAATATCTAACTCGAGGTGGATGAGACTTATTCAAACCTCATAAACCATAGTGCACATTTGCAAAAGATAAGCGGCAGGGGCCCCGTGGCTGACCGCTCCGCCACCCCGTCGCCCGTCATTAGTTTGGCCATCTCCAAAATCCGATTTTAAGAACATTATCCCTTTACCTCAAACAATCCCACCACTATTTCCCAATTTCACTGTGACCACTGCCTCGGTGGTGACTGATGGAGAGTGGATAAAGTGAAAAATGAGACCGACAGTTTTAAAAATGAGGGGGAAAAGGAGTAGTGGGAGGAGCAGTATCGTAACATTGGTGTAAGCAGATGATGGGGATGACTCCAATAGAAAAATTCTGACCTCTTACCTTTTTGTCAAGCCCAAGATGGCCATATTTTCAATTCGAAAGCTGCAGCACTTTGCCCCATCACTACTTTGTCCTTAATGCCTTCGATCAAGCCTTTGCACGGGCATTAAAGGCTTGATCTAAACAGCCCACGCAGCATCTATGCTTTGCTCTAGTTTGTTTATTATTGCCATAATGATGGGCGCATGAGCAAAAATTGTATATCAGTTCATTTTTTATTTTTTATTTTTGATAATCGAGGTGTTCGCGCGGCCGTATATATCAGTTCATTGATCTTGTAAAAAACGAAGAATTCTTGCTTTCTGGTTTCTTCATCTTTACAACCATCATTCTCATCTTTCATCTCCTTATTGCACAAGTAAGAAGGTGTAGTAAATTGTGCCACCAAAACTTTTCATCTTGAAACCTCAGAACTTGTATGTTTCTACGGGTTTAAGGGCGTCAAGCATATTTGAACCCCGTACTTGGGTTTTATGGTGAGCACGACGACGGGGGCGTGGCGGTAGCTCTCGGAGATCGTGAAGCTGAACCGGGATATCAACATGGCCAGGATGATCTTGGCCTCCATGAGGGCGAAGGTCTGGCCGACGCAGTTCCGCGGGCCCATCGCGAAGGGCACGAACCGGCCCGGGGCGAAAGCCTTCGACGCGAACCTCTCCGGGTTGAACTCGTTCGCATCCTTGCCCCACAGCTCCTCGCTGTGGTGGATGGCGAGGACCGGAATCCAGATCGAGAGCCCCTTCGGGATGTGGAGGTCGCCCAACTTGAAATCCTCAAACGCCATCCGGGGAAGCACCGAGGCTGGCGGATAGAGCCTTAGTGATTCATTAATCACCATATTTAACTGTGGCAAAATAGCGAAAGAAGAAGAAGGAAACGCTAGTTAACTAGTGTACCTAGGAAATGATGGAGCAAAAGAGAAGAGGAAATTAATTATATCAATTATGACGTCATCTTGTCAAATTGATAAAATGGGCTAGAATGACAAGAACATGGCAGGGGACTTTAAATGGCCGTGTACAATAAACCACACATTGGTCGGGAAATCGTGCGGCTCTGCTGCCACGATTCCCGAAGGTCAGTCCTACTTCCCTTCGAGCTTTACGCCACTTGCCGTAGCATGCACCATTTGTAGACGCTACGTACAACTTTTTAAGTACATCACCAAGAAAAGTCGCATGAATTGGCGGCAAACTTTATTTTTTCCTTCTCTCGTCAATATCAAGAGCAAAACCCATGAGCCCAAAATAAATAAATAAAATAGAGGGAAAAAATCACCAAAAATTGTAACCTCTAATTAGTGCCGCACTTTATAACTAGAAACAACGTCAATATTTACGCGACACGATAGCACGACTCAATTTATAAAAGAGAAAATCGAATTTGACCTTTTTTATCTATCGTTTTTTCTTAAGTTATTGATTATTTACCAATACTGATACGATAACATAAAATGAAACCAGTCGCCCGCCCGATACGACCTTGCGAATTGTTTGTGATTAGAAAAGGAGAATTGATAAGAGGAGGGACAGAATTTCAAGCTTACCAGGGTGAGCTTGGAGAGGTGTTCGACTGAGGGATCGGCACCATTGCAGACCTGAGCGACCTCCTCCCTCACTCTCTCTTGCCAGGATGGGTTGCTGGCGAGGAGCATGACCGTCCACGTCAGCAGCAGCGCGGTGGTTTCGTGCCCGGCGAAGAAGAAGGTCTTGCACTCGTCCATGATCAACTGGAGAGTCAAGCTGAATCCGCTCCCTGATTTCTTCTTCTGCATCTCGTTGAGCAGCATCCCGAGCAGGTCGTTCCCGTATGAGGAGCTCCGCCCGACCTCGACGCAGTCCCTCCGGCTCTGGATTATCTCCATCAGCAGCCTCTCCACCTCCATCTTGAGTGACTTTATCTCCCTATTGTACTTACTTGGAAAGAATCTGATAAATAAACAATAGTTGCCATTAGTTAACTCTCGATTACTTCCCTTTTCGATGCGTTAGGGATGGTCGCAACCCGGTTTTCGACGTTTCATTATTACAGGAGAAGTTCGAGAAAAAGTAATGTGAGTTTTAGAGATTTGTGCGACCACGGCCGAATGAGACGTACCGGCTGCCGGGAAGGCACAGGTGGCGGCTCGCTTGGGCACAGAGGCTTTGGAGGATGGTGAGGAGGTGGAAGATTTGCTTGCCCTTCTCGTAGCTACTGTCAAACTCAGTCCTGGAGATGATGTCGGCCGTGAGCCTGGCCATGTGCTCGCTGATCTCAAACTCCTTCTGGCCCGAGTCCACTGCCTTCCTCAGCGATTGGAGCATCTGGTTAGTGCAATCCACCATGTACCCCGCATAGCTCTAATAAAAACACCCAAATCTCGATTAATTTATTAGTCCCCAATTGGATCAAAGCCAAATGAAAGTTCTTCACATTGCCAAAACCAAGAACTAGCCCCAAGCATGTGCTTGCGGATCGGATCGGCTTCGCAGCATATTGATGATTACCTTGAGTTTGTCTCCCATGAAGGCGGGGGCGACGATGTGGCGCTGGTGGTACCAATCGTCACCGTTCGCCATCAGGAGTCCCTTCCCGATGAAATGCTTCGACCCTTGCTGTTGCAGCCACGACTTGCCGGATAGAGTGCTGTATTTGGACAGGAGTTCCTTGATCAGCTCGGTCTCGGTCAGGCACATCCGTGGCTCGGACCCGTTCCAGTATATGAACCGTTTTCCTGCGCCGAAAAATGGCATCCTCAGTACCGATTAACATGTATTCATGTTCATAAGGCGACTCTGGTCCACCCCTCTGGCTCCACGCTGGGAAAATCGTTATGAAGGAGCATGTGCGAGTGCGAGTGCGCGTGTTAGGAATATTGGATAGATTATAATACCGTATTGCTGGGACCAGAGGACGTAATGGGGCAAGAGGCGGGGAACGACATCGTGGCGGATGGAGTCCATGTCGTCGGAGGTGGACTTGGCGACGAGGGAGGCCGTGTCGTGGATGTTGCCGATCAGGGGGCGAGGTCTCGGGCCACGCACGCCTTGCCTCTCCATTATTTTCTTGATGCGCCTCGGCGTCCACCAGTAACACGTGATGGTCTCGTAAGCACCCTTAATTAGCAGACTCAAGAGGACAACCAAGATCGCTGTTAGGACCACCGTGGCCATGGTGGTGCTGGTGGTGGTGATCAGGCAACACTTTGTGTTAGTATCAGAGAGAGAAAGAGAGAGAGAGAGAGAGATTGCGATGGAGAGAGAGCTCTTTGCAGGAGGGTATTTATAATGAATGAACGCACGAGTTAATGAAGCGGGAAAAAGACATTCGGGCTTTATTGGAGTTTTTATTTTATTTTATTTTATTTTGTTTTATGTGATGGTAGTATGGCATGTGGGATCAATTTTTTGGGCACCAAATTAGAATGCATTTTCTCCTGTCCAGTCCAAGTCAAAAGCGAACATTGCACTCCAGATTAAATTTTGTCTAAATCATTTGAGGTTCTGTTAATTAAAATTGTTTTAGGTAAATAATGCAAAGAGAATTTTCCATCCCAAAGTTTTGAAACGCACAAAGGTAATTTTCGAATTATTATTTTTCGCGAAATAGCATGAAATTATTTCATGTGATTTTCGAGCTTTGAAAATGCCGAACACCCACTCCTACATATGGCAATGCCCAAAGAATCACGAGGACATTCGTTGATAACAGCAAGCATTTAATGTGGCAATGCGAGTGCCCAAAAGATGGCAAGTTATCTTGGGCAATATTTTGAAATATCAGCTGGATACCTAAAATGGAAAAAAATTAAATTCAATGGCTAAGATAAGAGGATGTGTCAACAAGTGTGTTAGGATGTGATTCATGCGGCTTTTGGATAAGTTGACTAATACTTCAATTGGGAAATCAAAGTCTCGTAGAAACTTGACAATCTACTATTAATTAAATGACCATAAAACGAGAAGCAAATGCCAATGTTGGTCATTCATTTCCAGAGAAGAAATGCACATCTGTTCTGGGTTCCTTCATTATAAACATCTCATAATAGACACAGTATCAATCATTGCCTGCCTGATATGCTTACTTCATTGCCTTAAATTGATCTCACAAAATAACAAAAAAAGAAAACAAGAAGAAGAAGAAAGAAATCTGACTCAGATATCTTGTTCATTTGTGCATTGCTTCCTTATGAGCTCAAACATTTGAAGTAATTATAGATTTGACCGAATCTGATATTACATTACTTAACAATTAAAGACTTGGATATCTTTTTGTACTTTGACGCATGAATAAAAGTTTCATCGAAATTTGGCGATCAATTATTAATTAAATGACCATAACAAGGAAAAGCAAATGACAGGTTGGTTAATCGAAATGCATATCTCCTTCAAAAAGTGCAATCGAGTCCTAAAACTTTTAAAAAGTACAATGAAGTCCTAAAACTTGTCAAGAAAGTGCAATCAAGTCTTAAAACTTTCAAAAAGCGCAATCAATGGAATGACTTGATTGGACCAATTTGATAAGTTTTAGGAATTGATTGTTCTTTTTGAAAGTTTTAGGATTCAATTGCGTTTTCGTGGCTAATTTTAGGACTTGATTGCACTTTTTGAAAGTTTTAGAATTTAATTATACTTTTGTGACTAGTTTTAGGACTTCCAGTACATTTATCCCATTATTAATTAAATGACCATAAAAGGAGAAGTAAACGCCAAGTTGGTCAATCGAAATGCTCATCTCTTCTTGGGCGGCCTTCATTATGAGTATGTCAAAGTAGTCACAATGTCCATCGTTGTCTGATATGCTCACTTTATTGCCTTAGTTTTTTTTTTTTTTTTAGTTGATATCACAAAATACCAAAAAAAGGAATATGATATGTTCATTTGTGAACTATTTCCTTATAAGCTCAAACAATTGAAGTACTTATATATTTGACCAAATATGATATTACATTACTTAAAAATCTAAGACTTTTATCTTTTTGTACTTTGCTGCATGAATCCAATTCTCATCGAAATTTGGCAATCAATTAAGGAGAGGCAAATGCCAAGTTGGTCAATCGAAATACACATCTCTTCTCGGGCGACCTTCATTGTGAGTATCTCAAAGTAGATACAATGTCCATCATTGCCTGATATGCTCACTTCATTGCCTTGAATTGATCTCACAAAATACAAAAAAATAAAAAGACAAGAAGAAGAAGAAGAAGAGGAGGAAGAAGAAAGAAAGCTGTCAAATTTCATGTAGCTCAAACAATTGAAGTGCTTATAGATTTGACCGAATCTGATATCACATTACTTAATAATGGGAAAATAATACAAACAGTCCTGAACTTTAGTCCAATGTGTAATATGATCCCTGAACTTTTAATTTGTTCAATGTAGTCCCTGAACTTAAATTAATGGAAGGACTACATTAAGCATTTTCATATAATTCAGGAATTAAATTGAACACGTACAAAAAATTCAGGAATGACATTGAACGAATTAAAAGTTCAGGGACCACATTGCACATTGAATTAAAGTTCAGGTACTACATTGAATAAATTAAAAGTGTAGGAACCACATTTCACATTAGGCCAATGTTCAGGGATCGTTTGTGTCGTTTTCCTTTATGAGTATATCAAAGTAGTCACAGTGTCCATCGTTGCCTGATATGCTCACTTCATTGCCTTGAATTGATATCACAAAAAACCAAAAAGAGAAGAAGAAGAAGAAAGAAAACCGTCAGATTTCTTGCTCATTTGTGAATTGTTTCCTTATTAGCTCAAACAGTTGAAGTACTTATAGATTTGAGCAAATATGATATTACATTACTTAATAATCTAAGACTTTTATCTTTTTGTACTTTGTTGCGTGAATCAAAGTCTCATCGAAATTTGGCAATCAATTAAGGAGAGACAAATGCCGAGTCGGTTGGTCAAAATACACATATCTTTTGGGGTGACCTTCATTGTGAGTATCTCAAAGTAGACACAATGTCCATCACTGCCTAATATGCTCACTTCATTGCCTTGAATTGATCTCACAAAATAAAAAAATAATAATAAAAAGAACGACAAGAAGAAGAAGAAGAGGAGGAGGAAGAAAGAAAGCCGTCAAATTTCATGTAGCTCAAACAATTGAAGTGCTTATAGATTTGACCGAATCTGATATCACAGAACTTAATAATGGGAAAATGACACAAACAGTCCCTAAACTTTAACTCAATGTGCAATTTGATCCTTAAACTTTTAATTTATTCAATGTAGTCCCTGAACTTTAACCCAATGTTCATTGTGATCCCTAAACTTTTAATTTGTTCAATGTCATCCCTAACCTTTTGGTACATATTCAATTTAGTCCTTGAACTATATAAAAATGTTCAAATTAGTCTTTCCATTAATTCAAGTTCAGAGACTGCATTGAACATTTTCATATAGTTCATGGACTATATTGAACATGTATCAAAAGTCCAGAGGCCACATTGAACAAATTAAAAGTTTAAGGATCACATTGAACATCAGGCTAAAGTTTAGGTACTACATTGAACAAATTAAAAGTTCAGAGACCAAATTGCATATTGAGCCAAAGTTCAGAAACTGTTTGTGTCATTATCCCCTAAGTAATATACGACTTGGATATTTTTTTTGTACTTTGATGAATGACGCAGAGAGAGAGAGTCCGGCTGGCACCGCCATTACTGAAGAAGGTCTAAGAAAAGAAGGTCTAAGAAAGAAGCGACTCTTTGCTAATTGATTGATGGTTAAATGAGTTGATATGTGAGACTATTCCATTAATGATACTGAAGATATGACGCTTAAAAATGTTTTACCTTATAATTTAGTCTCATCAAAGGCATTCGTAAAGCATTTTATTTGATTTTATCTATACATAATGAATTTTAATTTTGTGCTAAGTCGTGATCTACAATGTTATTAATTATGGGGCTATTGCAATTTTGCCACTAGTCACTCTTTTTGTCACTTTTGTTTTTCTAACTTACATGTTTATCTAGTTTTTTCAGACTGAATTTTGAAATGGGCAAGAGAATCACTCGTGAATCATAAATTCATCGTGGCAACCAAATATAAAACGATATTAACTTCGATGGGTGTAAATTTTTTTAAGCATAAAAGCTACAAGTACCAAAAAAAGAAATTGATAATTGCCGAAAATTGCGGCAACAATCACATCGCACATGAAAAGAAACTAGGAAATTGTTTCGTGTTTGCAGTGAAAAGCGAGAAAATAATTTATCCCATGATTTTTTTTCTTAAAAAATAATATATATGAAAAAAAATTTAGCTTATGGATAGTTGACAATTAATATTGTAGATAACTCTGATCTTTTAGTGATTTAGCAAAAAAAAAAAAAAAACTCTGATCTTTTAGTTAAATCGTATCTAGTAAAGATTCACATTATATATGAATAGATACCATGAAACTATTGCTTTATGCGACTTGGTTGATATGTGAAGATTCTGTCGCTATTTTATTAAGATAAAAATATTCCTATCAAATCTTTCTCGTGTTCTTGTGGATCTCCACAAGATTTGCCAATTAAACACATCCTGAAAACAGTACACTATGTATTAATACTAAACAATCATTCCCGACTATAATCAACTATACCAAACGATCATTAAACGGCAACTAATCTTGTCACGGTGGATTTGCAATTCGACATAAACCTAATTATGTATACATAATTGTCAATTCATGCTTTTACGAGGTCGAAAACTCATCGAGTTAGAAGATGGAAATTGAAGCTATGGGGTTCAGAATCTTTGCTTGCTAACGGTCGCCTCTCAATTTCTCAAGCGCACTTTGATCAATCGTTCAATTGCATGCGCCGAAAGACGTATACACAACTCAGGCGTCTTGGCATTCTTGCACGTCACCTTCCTCATATCTTCCTCGGTACATGTCGACTTATCACAGCACAAGAAAATCTTATGTTATTCTCTCGTACTCTCTGTCTTTGCCAAGATAATCACCCTATAATAAGTATCACATGCTATTATTCTATGTTCCAAGTTGCTGCGGACTGTATTAATCCAAGAAAACCGGGGAAGAAATTTGAGAAGGACGCAAAATATATGGTCGTACTTTGCTTCTCGATCCCCGAGGATGGTCGTGGCGTTGAGTATGTTGACTGTTCAATGGATTCTCAGTTTCCTATAGAAAATTTCACTGGAGTTGATCATTGGGGCGCACATTATTGTTTGGGCCTAGAGAAGATGAAACTCTTGTTTA